CTCAGTGTCCCTTTTCTGTCTGTTTTGGTCACCAGGAGTCATTTGGAGGCTTTACTCCGGTCTCTGGTGATCCTCTGCTGTTGGTTAGTATCTAAGGCTGAGATTTTGTCACCTGTCGCCTTAAGAGTCTTGACGAACATAAAGGGTAAAAGCCTAAATGAAGACATTAAGCGCAAGGTTGACTGAAGTCAGACAGACGTTAGTCAGACATCTAGGCCAACTAGAGGGAACATGAAAAATGAATTTGAAGAGAGGAGGTGCTTTGAAGAAGTCTATATGGGGTGCAGGTGACGCACATGGGAGTGGTACGTTGCAGTGGAGGCGTGGGATATGCGTGGGATACATGAGGGAAAGCTTCATGGAGGAGGCAACATTCTGTTTGATCTCCAGACATGTGCAGGGTGGGGCAGAGTGGGAATGAGGGTGAGGAATGAGGGGAGCAGCCTGGCAGGTTAGAGGCCTTACCGATGTGTATGGACCACTTAGATGATGACATCCTCGACTTCAGGCCAAGGGAGTTACCGGAGGGGATATCTGGTGGTCTTAGAAGGGGTGGGTGTATTCTACATATGGAAGGGATGTGAACTGTTAAAAGCAAAGACTGGAGCGGGGGGTGGGGGACTGTCTGCCAAGACCGTCACCAGTTACTCGCTCTGTGCTCACACTGTTCCTCCCAGTGTGATGGAGTTTATTGTATACAAATGTTTATAATGGCCATTATTTGTTATTCGTAACAGCCCAAAGGGAGAAACCCAAATGTCCATCAACTACTGAATGGATGAATAAAATATGCTGTATCCATACAATAAAATATTATTTGGCAACACAATGGAATGGAGTACTGAAAGCTGCCACAGCCCGATGAACCTTGAGAACACTGTACTAAGTGAAAGCAGTCATAAAGGGCCGCATATTATATGCTCTCATTTATAAAAAATGCTCAGCACAGGCAAACCTACAGAGACAGAAAGTAGACTGATGGGGGAGCAGAATTAAGCAAATGGGGAGAATTAATTGCCAAAGGGTTTCTTTTCGGGGTGATGAAAATGTTCTGGAACTAGGCAGTGGGGATGGTCACACAGCTCTGAATATACTCAAAGCCACTGGATTGTACACGTTAAATGGGTGAGTTGTACAGTATGTGGATTATATCTCAATGAAGCCATTACCAAAAAGTGGGAGTGGGGGCAGATGGCATCTCTGTCCCCTTGTGCCTTGCTCTGAGCAAGAGACTATGGCGTAAGCGATGCGGTGCCAGTTCCCAGCCTCACTGTTAAAAGCAGGGCAGATTCTCTCCCTCTCTCCCACCCTCCTGGAAGCTAACTGCCATGGAAAGCAGCTCAGGCTGGAGGAGAGACCACGGGGAAAGAGAGGCCTCATGGAGGCAAACCCAAGCCCTATCATGTAGTGAGGCCATCCTGGACATTTCTGCTCCAGCCAAGCTGACAGCTGATTTAAGCCTCCCAAGTGACCCCAGGAGAGATCTCATAAAGCCAACTCACGGAATCGGGAGAAATAATAAATCACTGTTGTTTTAAGCCACTGAGTTCTGCGGTGACACGTTATACAAGAGATAACCGAAGCATAACCTCTGAGCTGCAGACTCCACCTGGGTATAACACGGGACTAGCTACGGGGTCGCTGTGAAGATTCCGTGAAGCGTGTTCACTTTGGCAGCACATACACTAAGATTACGTGAAGTGAACACCAGGCATCATGCTCGAGAAACACTAGCCGTTACAGTTACTACTATTATTATTAAAAATCACCCCAGGAGACCCTTGACATTCTGCAGGTGTGCTCCTGGAAGCCTCATTCCCACAAGCACCTGCTGCTTCCAATCACATGGTTTCCAAAAAGCTGGTTTCCTGAGAAAAATGAAGGCTTAAAAAAAACACAATTTCTGAAAAATGAAATTTGAACTATAAACAGACTACCAACGAAGGTTCTGCTTAATCCTGTCCATTCAACACAACTTTATTAAATCCTTCCTAATGACCAGACACCAATCAAAAATAGCAAAGAAGTCCCTTTCTAGGTAGCTGTCAACAGAAAAGACTACACACTTGAACTTCAGCTGAGAGATGGTATCTGCAGTAGTAGATACATCTAAAATCATCCTGCTAGAGGAAAATCCCCTAAATTTCAGTAGAGAGCTCAATGCACAGAATACAGGCCCCAAGAAGGATTCTGACTGGGGATCCCAGAAGCAATACAGAGAGAAAGAAATGAAATGGGTCCCTAAAGGGTGCATCCTTTTGTGAGGGGGTCAGAGGGCCCCATTCACAGAACCTGGACCCCAGGTCGAGAGAAGAACTTGACCACCTGGCATCACCTGCCACGTCTGGTGCAGAACGGGTCTGGGCAATTAATGACGCACAAGCTGATGACAGACAGAAATCCTGTAGAAAAGGACGTTTAACAGCTTCCAACTGCATTTATGAAATCATGATAAATTGATAACACTGAACTAAAAGGCAAAGCCTTTTAATCCTGAGAAGAATTAAGATACTATTCGTTCCTCAAAAAATGCTGACATACTTAAATTACACTAAAGTAAGAAAGAGTGCCAAACCCATGAGTATTTTCTGCATGAGGGGACAAGGTTCACCAAGTGCAGGAAGCACTTATTTTAGACAAGTTCTATAAAGTTCCAGATCCATCGAATGCTAGTTACAGCCACTATAAGCAATACAGGCCCGGAAATGGCCTATCCACCGGAGGCCAGGAGGGACACAGGTGAAAGGCACAACCCTGGCAGGTACTGGGCTGAGTCTACCGGATAATCCAAATGCTGGGCTGACTTTTTTTTTATTGACATGTAACATATACTAAAGCACACAAACAGTGAGTGTACAGCCTGAAGAATGTCTATATCCAGATTAAAATAAAAGAATACTCCTAATACCCCAAAAGGTGCCCTGTGCCTTTCCCAGTCAGTAACAAACCCCACCTGTGCCCCCCCCAACAACCAGGAGTAACCACTACTTTGATCTCCATCACCATAGATTAGTTTGGCTTGGTGTTCAATTTCACAAAAATGGAATCATACGTTATGTGGTCTTTTCGGTCTGCCTTCTTTCATTCGCAACAAGGGTTACCTTGTTTTGAAACAGAAAACCCAGAAACAGATTTTTCAGGAAATCCCCCCCATGATGTCATAGACCCGGGGTGCCAGCTACTCTGGTTACACTGGCTGTACTTCCTGACCTCCTCCAAGCATGTGTTCGAACAACTTAAAACAGAATCTTGGATTGTCAAAGGCTTCCTTCAAGATAAATTAAATCTTTTAAAGGTACTCAAATCTATTCAGTCTCAATCTTAACGCAGCCTCTGACTCGATGCTATTACAGTATAATCTTTCCCATAATGAATACAAAATTCCTTAAATATATTTTTCTTCCTTGGCATCCACCCATTCTAAAGAACCCTCAAATCCTGCAATAAAATGAACTGTCAATTCTGTTACTACTTTTGATTAGTAAGACGTTGAACTACAGGAAAATGTCTGAGGCAGCCTAAGGCCCTATATGTAGATCAATGTGGATCAGACAAGGCAGGAGAGGGGCAACAGTACAGCAGTAAGATACAGGTACAGATTCTCCAAATTATCAGGATTCAAATCCGGGATTTGCCCATATCTAGTCGGGTGGCAAATCATTACCTGGGCAAGTCATTACTCCAAACTGTGCCTCAATTACCTCACTGTAAAATGGGAAAACCTCATAGGATTGTTGCAAGGATTAAATGTGAATGTACATAAAGCTGTTAGGAGAGCACTTGGCGCATAATAAACACTCAGTAAAGATAAGCAACTTTCAAAAGCTGGAAGCTCTGTACGAGAGCAACTATTCTGCAAACCAACAGGTCATAAAACAGTCCTAAGAGTCACCAGGATATCTAGCACAGTGCTTCTCAAGACATTTCCTCCCTAACCCTTCACAGACTGACTGATATTTTTTGTAAAATGCAAGATCACATGCTGGAATATCACAGCAATGTCAAATTGCTCTAAAAGTGTTTAAATGTTTACTCCCACTTTCTGTGTTTATCTCATCGAAGCCTGATACCCGGACTGGCACTTGTCTGCAGAGGCAACTTTGAGTAGCACTGTTCTAGCACACAAGAGGGACTCATAAGCCTGCTGATAACTCAGCTAGCAGGTTAAACATAATTAAGAAAACATATTAGTAAAGAAAACCAACCCCAACAGCAAGGGCAAGAGGATGACTTGAGGGTCGTCAAGCTGGGAGAGAAAATATCCCAACAGGCTGAACCTGGGGAAAAAAAAACTGGCTGCCAAAGCAACAGTCCAACTGGTACCCCCACCCACCCTCTGCTGCTCAAGGAGATGCTCTCACAAAACATGTCGGCCAGGAAGTCATCAGCCCCAGAGGGGACAAGAAATATGAAGGAAGGAGGCAGAACTGACTCAGCCCTCCTGAGAAAGAAGTCCTTCTCAGGAGTTAGAAGCCACCCTAAGCAGCCACCAAGCTGTGGGAATGCCAATCACGGCACAAAAGGCCAGAGTTTCTTCTCTGCCAAAGAAAACGTGCAAATGTTTCCTTTGGTGAGGTGGGACTGCATTCATGCATACCCGTGTATGCACACACAGTCGTCCCTCAGTATCCGCAGAGGACTGGCTTCACTGGTCCCCATGTGACATCAAAATCTGTGGATGCTCGAGTCCCTTATATATAAATACCTTACATGAAAGGTATTTGCATATAACCCACGCACATCCTCCTGTATACTTCAAATCATCTCTAGATTACTTACAATACCGAACACAATGTAAATATTATTTAAATAGTTGTAAATACAATGTGCACATTATGTAAGTTGTTTCTGGAATGCAACAAATTTGAGTTTTGCTTTTTGGAACTTTCCTGAATGGTTTTTTTCCCCCATATATTTTCAATCCGGTGGTTGGTTGAATCTGAGGATACAGAATCCACGGATACGGAGGGCCAACTGTACACACACTCCATACACAGTACCTGTGGTCTTAGGAGGCTCCTGAGGTCCGCCCTGCCAGCCGTACTGTGGGTATCCTTGGTTGGGGTATCCCTGAGGAGGTGGGTAGGGTCCACCTACAGGTCCTGGAGGGTAGGCCGCAGGCCCCATCGGTTGTTGTGGATAAGGCGGGTATGGGGCCGACGGGCCGGGGCCCGGATACGGTGGAGGGTTCCCTTGGTTCATCAGGGACCTGCAGGCTGCAATGACAATAAAAATTATTTGCATTTAATCTGTGGAAATCATTAGGGAAAAATTTCAATCAAGAGATCACTTACAAATTGCCTTAAAGATATCTTAAACCTCTTGCAAACCTTGAACTCTGTCCATTTGGTTTCCTTCTCACCATTGCAACTGGCAAATATCTTACGTATCTGATTATTTGCCTTTTGTCTGCCTCCCTCTCACCCCCAGACTATAGGCTGTGAGAGCAGGAATCAAGACAGGTTTGGGTCATCACCATGACCCTGAAGCTTAGCATAGTGCCTGGCACAAGGCAGGCCCCTCAGTAAATGTGCTTAATGGAGAATAGGATATTATTGTGTTTTTTAATTTTCTAAAATGTCCATAAATGTGATTGGGTAGCTCTAAGAAGAAGGCGGAAAGTCAAAAAGCATTATGAATCAGATCAGCGGAAGCTGGGCCAGTGCCAGAAATCCTCCAATAAACAGGGCTGGGCCACACTGAAATCTTCTAAGAAGCAGCGCCACCAGCGGTAAGTGACCAGGGATGTAAGCGTCGCCCCCGCCCAGGGCACTGGGTGATCTGGTTGCTCTTCCCAGACCCACAGCTCCCAGCAACTGAGTGGTGTGCTTGGTTGTCAATGCAGAGGATGCCAAGGGTCTCCTCGGACCATCCGGGCTCCCAGGACTCTGGAGGGCTCACCCCACTTTGTTTTATAGGTTCCTGTCCTGGATGGTTTAGCTTCTGTGAGGGGAGCCATTTCTTCCCATCCCTTGAACCTTTAAACCATTCTCCTGATTGGGCCTCAAGTCTGGAGGGCCAGCATCTCCTTCCCATCATCTCTGTAGCAGCTGCAGGGCCCAACACAATGACTTTCAGATTAAAAGCATTACCAGGGAATGCAAAGTACACAAACTCTGGATGAACATGATATCTGTCATCTTGCTGCTGTGTACTGTTACCCATCTCCTGTACTGATATTTAACTTTTTACCTATTTGAGTAAGTTAACAGAGGAAAGAATCTCATACTCAAAATTTAATTTCACCATTTGTTCTTTTCTATAACATGCAATCAGTAAATTCATAAGTGACTCTATATGAAAAACAGAATAGCCATAAAGTTCCCTAGAAAATCTGGATTAAAATCATGGACTTTGTTGGCTGCCCATACAACCACCACATCCCACTTCATAACAGTCAGATTCCCCATTAAATAGCCATTCCTTCTTCCTGTAGTTCATGTACTTCAGGGGAAGCTCATACTGTACCAGCTCCAGGAGGAGCCCAATCTAACCTAAGCTAACCGGGTCACCCTTTCCTCTTTTTCACAAGATTGGTTCAAGGAATCCAGGACAAAGCCAGTCACAAATGGCATCCCTTGGCCGCTGCCATTGGTTCTGAAGTGGTTTGGTCAGTTAAAAGCTTGGGGCTCTCCTAACACACTCCCAACCTTCCTTTTCCCTTAACACAGGCACACACATACTCTGGCAAGGACATGGCCTCCAAAATTGCTGACAGCCTGTCTGCAGCCCTGAGGGAGTCACTAGCCTTAAGATGAAGCAAGCACTTCAGAAAGGCAGAGCAAAAAGAAGGAAAGAAATGGAATTCCAGATGACTTCATAAATCAGACTGAAAACCAACCTAACCTAAGCTACCTATGTAGAATTTCCAGTCCTAGGAACCAAGAGTAAGGTAGTCTAACGAACCCCTGTGAGTGACATTCAAGCAAGCATACGTTTATGCAGGGCTGACTGTGCCTGGCTCTGTGCTAAGTAGTGGGGCATCGAGATGGATATGGCTCACATTCTCCCCTTGGGTTAAAAAGACAAACATACAGATAGCGTTTTTAGGAAAGGTGGTAAACAGACTGCTGGGTAGGGGCTTACACCCAGTCAGAGGAGGTGGGAGTGAACAGAGTGCCACCTGAAGGAGGTGATTGTAAATTGAAACTTTATAACATGGAATCAGAATGGCTGGAAGTTCTCTATTTTGACCTCTGCATCCCCCACCTCTACCCTCCTTTTTCTAGGGGCATGGCAGGGATTCAGGAAAGAACTAGAGTCTTTCCCGTCTCTGCTCTTTGGTCTGTGCCAACATGGCATCAGACTCTGACCTGGGAACGGCCTTTCCCTTTCCCCTCAAGCAAAGGCTCCCAGTGACTAACACCGCAGTCATCATGGGAATCTGGCCAGACATAACCGCTGACGACTTCTGCATTTCCTCTCTCCTACCTGGAAGGCTGTAGTAAACCTAGTGATCCCTGGTTAACACAGAAATCATTAACCCCCCCTATGGCTAATCCATTATTTAAGTCACAGAAGTAGAACTCAGCCATCCTAGCTACTCTTTCCTGAAGTTCAGTGTGTGAGTGCAGCGGCAGGAGGCAGGGGTCCTCTGGACTGACCTAATTCTACCCAAACTATAGTTTAACTTCTTTAGTCCAACAAGACCCTGTAATAATGATTGTTCTCATGCTAACAAAGCCTGGACCTATATTTTTCTGAAGACAATACTCTTCTAAAAACAACAGGCAGTGAGAAGGAAAAAACGAACAAAGTATTTAGAACTATTACAACCTCACACCTCAAAGATTCAGGACTTTTCTTCATCTATGTGTGTCTGTTCCTCATCAGTCCTAGGACCCTCAAAAGTCTCCGAAATGTATGTGTCCTCCCCATTTCTCCTTCAACCATGTTTCCTCCTCATTTTAGCATGCACCTTTCTCCCTCTGCCTGAAGAATCGCTTAACGCCTAGGGGAGAAAACCCCACCTGCTAACCAGAGGCACTTATAAAGAGCATAAACCATACAGATGCTCCAGCTACCATGCCCTGCCCTGCCCCCCTCAACACCCACCCACTCTGTCCCTGTGTTCCCAAAACACAGATATCTTAGAGGGATAAAATCTGGATCTATTTTCAGTTTCTTCTAAACAGGAGGAAAAAAAAAATCCCAGTAAAAGAACAGCAAAGTCACAGAACCAGCATGTGTCGAGATCAAAGATTCTCGAGCTGACACTTGAAGAGCAGGAGTTCACCTAGAGGGATGCAACTGTTCCCAAGCCTGTACAGAAGCAAATCCATTCCTAACATTGACACAGTCTAGTACAAACCACATAACATAACCAAAACACAAATGAGCTTTAAATTTAAGGTATGCTACTGAGCTTTATAACATGAACATTTTTCCTTATAAACTTGATCAGGTGAAATGTAAGCCCTCTACAGTAGAGTATGTTACACTGGGGTGTGTTTCCAACGCAAACAGTGGAAACAGGAGCGTTAAAGACAAATCAGAGCTCTAAAAGAGACAGCTCAAACCAAGTAGCAGCCAAGATCCATTAAGCCTGAATTGAACACTCTTATCCAACGATCCCATTCAAGACATGCTCAGAATCACAGGATTTGCAGTCATTCAACCACACAAGAAGAAGAGCAGAAACTGTTCTTTCCGAAAGTGCTCCACAGAGATAAGATCATAATAAAAGACCTCATCAAAGTAGAGATGAAGGAAAGAACATTATTTTTCAAAGCTGTTATTATCTTTTAAATGACAAGATACCTGGTAGCCTGGCACTGACCCAGCAGGCAGTACACTGGAGAATTTTCCTCCAGAAAAACTGAGCAGCCCCAAGGGGAAAAAATTACTGATACTAATACTCGAGGAGACTCCAAAGAAACTGACCTAGTCACCCCACAGTAAAGCCCAGGCACACAGAACTTCTAATCGACATTTTATTGCCTTAAAAATAAATGAATGGACAAGGACTATCAAGACATATGAGTAAAGCCTGAAACATAAGAGAGCAAAACAAAATAGGAAAAAATAAAAAACCCAACCTAAATATCCAAAAAAAGAAAAGAATTAAATAAATTATGGTACATTAATATAATAGTTCTTTTGCAGCTGTCTTTAATTTGTTTTTGAAGTACGATATAATATTTTAAGTATAAGAAAAATATAAAAGCTGTATATTTGGCATGATCCCAATTTTCTTTAAAATAAATTTTGAAAAATGGATCACTGTAACAGAATGAAGAGTTCTACAACAGACCCACACAGTAGTCACCTAATTTAACAGAAAGGCAGCACTGCGACTCAGAAAGTAAAAAATTAGTCTTTCCAATAAATAGAGCTGGCTATTCTTGTGGGAGAAAAAAAAAAGAACTTAGATCTCCATCCTTACAAACAAAGAATAAATCACACTATATCATGGATCTGCATACAAAAGGTAAAACAATCATGTTTTTAGAACAAAGTATATAATATATTCATGACTTCGGCAGTATTTACCTTATGATCCAGCAATTATACTCTCAGATATATACTAAAGTAAAATGACTGCATTAAGTCCACCAAAGACCTATGTAAGAATATTCAAAGCAGCTTGAGCCCCAAACTGGAAACTATCCAAGTGTTGGTCAATACTAGAACAGGTAGATTAAGGAAGAGTTATACAATGGAAAGTGCCCAGCAGTAAGAAAAGGACGATTACTACATGCAGCAAGGCGGATGAAACCCACAGACAAGGATGAGCAAAAGCAGCCAGACTCAACAGACTTCACACAGTATGATTCCATTTACATCAGGTTCAAGAACAGCCAAAACCAACCTCCAGATACTGATACTGACTGGAAGAGGCACATGAGGAGAGTTTTGGGGTAACAGGGATGCTCTACATTTTGAGCTGAGTCATGTTTACCTGAAGACCATAAACTCTCGGAGTTGTACGTTAAGACTGCCACATTTTAAGTGCACAGTACCAGCAGACAGATAAAATTTGGCTAGAAGGGGAAAAAACATATATAGTGGTTTTCTCTGGGTGCTGGAATTATGCGCAATTGCTATTTATTCTATATTTCTGAAAATTTCAATAAGGAACCCGTATAGTCAGGGAAAAAAAAATCAAGATTTCTTATTGTTTTCTATTATTTTCATGCGACCCATCTTTCTTTTTTTAACAGCTAGAATGCTTCTGTAGCTCTCCTACCCACTTCCAGCACCCCAGCTTTCCTTC